CCGGTAAACTTCTGAACGAGGAAGTGGAGAAAATATAACCTTGCTGGGTTGTAACGTCTCTGTGGGCGAGCGGTCCAAAGCACGCCTTTTACCTAAAAGAGGACGCAGGTTCGAACCTTACCCGAGAGCACACTTTCTTTATTAAGATTTCTTCAACCTAATAAAAGTTACATATCAACCATACGAAGAAACAAACAACAAATACTATATATATATATATATATATATATATATATATATATATATATATACTTCCAAGAGGATAGAATCCAGGTATAGCTCAATGTCATCTGACATCCATTAGATATGGTACGTGGAACTAGATCAGTCTACTCCAGCGAAAGAAATTAAGTGTTCAGCTCAACATTCCAGCCACCTGAAGGAGGCCGGAACGTACATCGGCCCAAAAGTTGTAATAAATATGGCAACAAAGATGAGGAAAATAATGTAAATAGTGTACATAATACCTCATCTCAGAAATATAGACAGATACTGAAGAAGGCCGGAGCGTACAAAGGCCTAAACGTGGTAATAAATATGGCAAAAAATATGAGGACTATAGTATGAATAATGTAAATAGTATACAAATCTTGCAACCAATCGCCATCGATAATCAAGCAGATCCCACAATTCTTCAGTGCCAATTCTTTTAGTGATATTATTTTCAACGAAGCCAAGAAAGACTATGAAACAGCCCTAAAAGAGTGTGAATTCTTCGCAACACTCACATAAACACACCACACAGCACAAAAAAAGCCAGCAGCAAAAGAAACATCATATGGTTCAACCTACCATAGAAAAAAACCCGTAAAAACAGACGTAGAAAAAATATTCATTAAAGTAATACGCAAACGTAATAACAATAACCAACAATAAAATAATCAATTAAAAGTTAAAAAAACGCTATAAAGATCACAAAATTTCAGAATTATTTCCACCCTAGAATAATTTGAAACATAATCGTTATCGCCCACCATAATAACCGGTAGAACAATCCAATAGACTAAATGCATCGCTGAACATCATAGTCGAGCAAAAACACAATGCATATGGCCTGACGATTGCGTTCAAGCATGAAACAGTCTATCGTAAATGTCTATATATATATATATATATATATATATATATATATATATATATATATATATATATATATATGTATGTATGTATTGACATACACAGACAGACTGTTTCGCTGTATCACAGCTCATCAGTGTGACTAGACGTCCGGTTGCCTTTAGCTAGGATCGAAACCCGGCTGAATTGATGTCAGTCGGAGATATATATTTGTGTATTTAAGCATCAAATTCACTTTTAGGCATGCCTGATTGAATAAATTACAAACATTATGTCTGCTTATTTTTATCATAATCCTTTATTATTCATGAATATGAAAGTATTATGATAAAAATTAGCAGGCATAATGTTTGTAAAATATTCAATCAAATATATATATATATATATATATATATGTGTGTGTGTGTGTGTGTGTGTGTGTGTGTGTGTGTAAAAATATAGAGAAAATTGGAAATAACTTGTTAGGTAAATAATCCAAAGTTCTTTAGTATTTTTGTTATTATTTTTAAAAAATAGTGCTCGATACAAAAGTAGAGCATAAATATAATTATTTATTTAAAAATATGGAACAGAGCTTAGTACTTTAATTCAATCTAATTCAAATAATTATATTGAAGTTTTTGGCTCTTGTTTTGAAACATGCGAACTCTTATGTAGCGTTGGAATCATATTTTTAAATAATTATATATATATATATATATATATATATATATATATATAGGATGTCCATAAAGTCAATAGAATCAACTGACGTGCTGGGGCTTCTTTTCCATATTTAGCTGTGTAATTTTTTCATGATTGAATTTCCGACTTTGTTTCGATAAACGAAGACACACGTATTGTCTGTTCATGTGGAATCGTCACTGTCAACCGTTTTTAGGTGTAATTTCTAGTAATTCGTTACTTGTGGCTTTAAACATAATGTCAATATTAATTGCGGTCTAAAACATAAAAAATAACATAAATAAAATTCGTAATATCATTAAAAGAACTTTAATAATGACATTGATATGCAACAAAAAATACTTGCCACGTATTCTAAGTTTTTCATAATGGCTTTTTTGAAATAGATTAAAGACTTTATGGTCACCCTGTATATACACATACAGAGACACACTCAGGGAGACATACAAACACAGACTCAGACATATATATATATATATATATATATATATATATATATATAAAATATATATATATATGCTAATGACAAATAGCACAACCGGTAGAACAGCTCTGAATTTCATACACGATGCAATTACTTGAACTCGTTGTAGTGCTTCTGGTGAGGACTAAAATGTATGTGGGGTGCGATGAATAAATTGTCGTTTAAATTCCACAAAAAAAAATACGAAAATAAAACTGACATCTCATTTTAACAGATATATTTACCAAAATTATACAAAAATATATTGAAATGCTAAAGAGTAAATTGATTCAATAAAATCGCCATCGTCTTCAGTCACAGCCTCCAGATGACTGCAAATCTTCTGAATTGTCTCCTTGTTTAATTTGGTGACTGCTGAAATTATCCTTGCCTTCAATTCAACTTTGGTGTGACTAGGAGTTTTGTTGGTCTTTCCATCAACACCACCCACACATACTAATCAAAGAGGTTGCAGTTTTGGGAGTTAGGTGGTGTAAGAGGTGATGTGGTCGCAGAAATTGTCTGAGAATCATGACTGGGTTCTCCGGTTTATGTTGCATGGTGCAGAGTCTGGTTGCCAGAGATAGAGTCTTCCAGTAGCCAGCCTCTTCACCCAGGGCAATATTACCTCCTCAAGGCACTTAATGTAGGCCCTGTGAGAATATAAATTAAGGTATAACATCGCCATCGCTATTGATCAAACCAAACACCATGCTTTTCCCTGGATATTTGGTTTTCATCAATTTGAGGACACAAAATCTTCTACACTGTCCACAGATTGACACCCAAGCACTCTGAATTATTCGTATATGTGATACCGGCGCGAATGCTAAGCAGTACTACAAGTCGTTTCCAAATTTATGGCAGAGAGAAATGAGTCATTGGGATCTTTTTTCTCACAGACGGTGCACAATTGTCACTAATGCAATTTGCAGTCGATAAAACAAAGAACAAGTATGCGTGAAATTAAAAATATTAAATGACTATACTTTACTCATTGCACTTGGTATCTATTATTAGTATAAGTTTTATCTCTGTTATTATATATTGAACACTGTTTCAATATCACCAGCACTCAATGTGTGCTACTTCATAATATATATATATATATATATATATATATATATGAATATTTTATTTTATTTTAGGATAATTACATCAACATGAGAATAAACGCTACATAATTGCAATCATGTTTCGATGTGTAACAAAACATCTCATCAGGCACTTTTTCACGTGAATGTGGTTTTAAATTTTAAATAAATTGTCTACTAACCAGTTATTTACAAACATCTGATGAGATGTGTTGGTACACATCGAAACATGATTTCATTTTTTGTAGCGTTTACTTTACTGTTGATGCAATTATCCTAAAATAAAAAATACAGCTCTACTTTCGCATTGAGCTCTCTTTCAAATTATTGTCCATCCAGCTCTTATCTCAAATAACAACTTAAAAGAGACTGTTTGACCAACACAAGGAATGTTAAAAGATTCATGTTAAAAAGATAAAGAATTAAAAAAAAAAAACAAATGAAAACGACAGACAAAAGTTCATTTTTTCCATCAATATATTCATTTCTGTAGTTCACTGCTGCCTGCAAGCAGAAATATTTCTTCTCCTGATGATGGCCATTTTGGCCGAAACTAGTCGAGGAATCTAAATGAAATAATAATAAAAAAAACGAAAGAATATTAATCTACAACCCAGTGTGTCTGAAGATTTTAATTTTTAATATTTTTTATTGTTCAATATATATATATATATATGTATATATATATGTGTGTGTGTGTGTGTGTGCGTGTGTGTGTGCGCGCGTGTGTGTGTGTGTGTGTGTGTGCGTGTGTGTGTGTGCGTGTGTTTATATGTACATATATATATATATATATACAGAGAGAGATTGTGATTGTGTGAGAGAGAGAGGAGATAGAAAATCACTGTGTAGTGTTGTTTCTTTCGTCACATATTAATATATATATATATATATATATATATATATATATATATATATATATATATATATTTATTTATTTGGTTTATTTATATATGGACTCAGTAAAATTCTTTTTCATTATCTTATATCCTCGACCTGAGAAGTTCTTGTTTTTCTCTGTGACAACACGTGTGTGGTCTATTACCACATACTTTTTTACCATCTTACCAAAAAAGACGTAACTCACACTGTTGTAACAACGATGATCACCACCAGTAAGAAGGAATACAAACAATAATAATAATAATAACAACAGAGACAGAGACAATATTTTCTCGTTCTCATAAAAGACGGGGGTTATTAAGTGCATATCAAGTCGCATGTGACGGTTTTGTTTGAAAGTCCCAAAATAACGAACTCGAGAAATGGTTAACGTGGGGGTGGGGGGTAGAGAGAACAAAGGACAAAGAGAAGGAAAGAGAAAACGAAAGAAAATGTAAATCAAAAGAATATTTAAAGAATTATAAAAAAAATAAAATAAAAAAGAGAAAAGTAATGAAAAGGGAATAATATCTCAGCGAAGATAGATAGAAAGAAATGAAATAGAAAAAGAGAAAGTATAAGAGGGGAAAAATGAATGAGAAAGAAAGAGAAAGAAATAATATAAAAGTCAAAGAAAGAAAGAAAAGATTATCAATAGAAGAAAAGCGAATGAATGAAAAAGACAGGATATGAAAAGTGAAGTAATAAAATTGAATGAAAATGTAATATCAAAACAACGAAATGAATGAAAACGAAAAAGAGAAATATTCTTAATAAGGAAAAAAATGAAAGAAAAATTCTTAGTAAGTGAAGAAAGTAAGTAATATATAGTGAATGAAAGAAAAAGGATGAATGAATATCAGAAAAAAATTATGAATAAAAGAGAAAGAATAAATATAAAAGAAAAAGGAAGAAATGAAGAAAAAGACAAGAGAAAAATATAAAAGAAGAAATAACTTAGTGAAAGCGAAACGGTACGGCAGAAAGAATATAAGAAAAGAAGGAAACAAAGAAATGATAGAGAAAGACAGAATATGAGTATGTGAAGAATTAAAGAAATACATAAGAAAGAAAGAAACAAGAAAAGAAAATAGTGCAAGAAAGTGAAAGATAGAATTAATATAATTAAGAGAAAAAGAAAGAGAAAGTGAAAAAAATAAAAATGAAACTAAAGGATATGGTAAGAGAAAAACAAGATTAAGGAGAGATAAAGTGAAAAAAGAAGGACACGAATCAAATAGAAAGAGAGAAAAAAATAAAAGAGAGGAAAGACAGAAAACAATGAAAAGAAATAGAGAAGAAAGAAAGAGAAAGAGAGAAAGCAGGAAAGGAAATAACAAATATAAATGGAAGAGAAAGAAAGAAATAAATGGAAGTAAAAAAAGAAAAGGAAACGAAAGAAAAAGTGAAATGGCGAAACAATAAGAAAAACGAAAATAAAAATAAAATGTATAAATGTCGCGAAGAATGTAAGAATAATATTTAAAAATTAACGACACCTACATGAAATATATCCTTATTTGAGATGAAATATCATATCTGTTGGTTCGAAACATTTTCTGTCCAATGTTCTCTTTATACGGTAAATCAAAATATCATTCACTTCACTTTCCAAGACTGTCCAACTTAAGAAGTGGATTTCAAATAATATGAATATATTACTGAAAATCTTCATTCGGTCCCATTTTACTATATATATATATATATATATATATATATATATTTACATAAATTATATTTACAGATTTAATATCAATAGAAAATGTTAATGGATTTTTAAACTTGAATATATCTACGTTATTTTGTTTTAATTCATAACTACTTATTTAATAAATATTCTGAATCATGCTTCAATGAAAAAAAGTTCAGTAGAATCTGACAAAGTAAATCTAAGACTGTCTATATTTCTGAGATGAGGTATTATCTGCACCACATTATTCCGACTATTGTCCTCATCTTTGTCGGCATATTTATTACAACGTCTCGGCCGTTGTTCGCTCCGGCCTTCTTCAGTATCTGTCTATATTTCTGAGATGAGCTATTATCTACACTACATTATTCGGATTATTGTCCGAATTTTTGTTGCCATATTTATTACAAAGTTTAGGCCGTTGTACGCTCCGGCCTTCTTCAGTATCTGTCTCTATTTATGAGATGAGGTATTATGTATACTATTTACATTATTCGGCCTATAGTGCTCATATTTGTTGCCATATTTATTACAACGTTTCGGCCGTTGTACACTCCGGCCTTCTTCAGTATCTGTCTATATTTCTGAGATGAACACTATTTACATTATTCGGATTATTTTCCTCATCTTTGTGGCCATATTTATTACAACTTTCCGGCCTCCTTCAGGTGGCTGGAATGTTGAGCTGAACCCTTTATTTCGTTCGCTGGGGTAGACTGTCCTAGTTCCACGTACCATATCAAATGGATGTCAGCTGACGTTGAGCTGGATTCTATCCTCTTTGAAGTATGTATATATATATATATATATATATGTGTGTGTGTGTGTGTGTGTCATAGGGCGACTAGACGTCTGAATGAATGCCTCAGGCCAGGATCAAAACCCAACCGATTTGGTGTGCGTCAGAGTTTCTACCACTGAGCTATCTCATTCAGCAGAGTGAAACAGCTAAATATAGCCTATTTTTTTTTACGAATGTAAACAAATGCCAATCAGCCGGAGTGCTCCATTTATTTTACTGAAGAGCTTCGCATTAACGCAAGTGGCAGTTGTTTATATAATTAGCTTATCACTCAACAGTACTCAATTGAAATATATTTTCAAGAGCTAAATTATGTCTTATATACACACACATAACGGGTGTAACAGCAAAATTGTACAATTGTTACATTAATCTCTGAACTGCTAGAAATGATTAAATATACTTACTGGAAAACTCCGAGGTTTATATAACACTATTCGACTCTACTTTGATGAATAAGAATGTATAATTACTCTCCAAGCTGAACAGAACTATCGTGAGGAAATCGATCAGAAACGAAAATGAGATGTCTTTTTTCACTGCTCTTTGGACTGTCATAGTTGAAACTGCTCTTTTCTTATGAATTGATTTGAATATTTTCTAATTGATCCCTTTAACTGTAAGTAGAAATGATGATCCCTCTTGCTGTTGTGACCTCTTCATCAACTTTTACTCTCTACTATTCCTTTTTCTAAACTTATTCAACGTTCTCTTGATGGTTCTTGAAGAGACTTTGAAGATGGAAGCCAAAGTATGGATGTTGTTACCATTACTGAAGGCCTGAATGATATTCTTCCTCTCACCATTGCTCAGTTAGGAAAACAGTGGGTCTGACACAAAACAATTTTAACCGGCTGTTTTTTTAGCTGAATTACTTCTAAAATTTTTTATTTTTACGCAAAATGTAGTCAGGTGGGGAAACGTCTTATCTGAAAACCTGGAAAAAAGAAACTCAAGTAGTCTAGTGAGGTTTTAGATATTAAACATTTTGGCGGATGGATAATTATGCTGTTACACGATTTGGACAATTTTATTTTATATCCGCGATGCGTATATATATATATATATATATATATATATATATATATATATATATATATATATATATATATATATGTGTGTGTGTGTGTGTGTGTGTGTGTATATATATATATATATATATATATATATATATATATATATATATATATAGGCATCTCCTTGAATTACGTCAGACCTCAGTTTCTATTATGCGTCGTATCGCGATTTTCCGTATAAGTCGGAACGTACCCTGGAGCTTAACGCAATACTAAATTAATAATCTAGGACAAAACAACGTATTTCTATAACATGTGTTAACATAATTAGGACTAAAAAACAAATGGTGGATATAAATGGTGTTTCATTTAGACGGATTATGTGTAAGGGTGTTTCATTAAGACGGATCAAAGTCAGCAGTAAATAAATCAGTGTTATTGGTGAAAATTGATTTATTTCTCTATTGGATCATGTTATTTAAGTCATGCCAATTATGTATGAAAAATAATATCATCCAAATGTCCTCCAAGGCTTTGGCGGGAAACCTCCACTAGAGAGTCAAAATTTTTGAGGACATCACTGCATAGTTAATCCTCGATCTCATCAGTATGCTTTATTATCTCATCCTTCAGATGTTGAATTGTTGCTGGCTTGTTTGCATAGATATCACTTTTGAGATTACCCCTAAAGGAAGAAATCTAAAGACGTCAAGTCGGACGATCGTGATGGCTAATTGACGTAGCTGTTTCGAGAGATGATACAACCTGGGAACATCTCATTCAAATTCTGTTTGAACATCCATTTCCGTAATACGCTCCGATAACTTTAAGACGTTGTTAATCTTTCCATGGTTGAAATTGCCAAAGACTTTAGTTGTTAAATCTGAAAAAAGATCATTAGACGCTTAAACTTAATTCACATTTAAAATCGCTCCATTTTATTGGAACACACTTTATTTTCCGCTATGCCGTTTCCATCGTATGTACGAGGCGAACTGTATAAATCGAAACAAGATTAATGGAAATTGCGTCGTAACCACGAATCGTCGTAGGTTGGGACAGTCGTAACCTGAAGAGATACTGTACGTATTCTGTCCTTATTTATATACATTCATTTTTTTTTATTTCTTCTTCTTTTTCTTTCATTCATCCACGTTACACACAGTCACATATACATAATTTATGATTACTACTTATGCTTTTTTTCAAAATTTATGGTAATTGATTTAAAAGCTTCAAAAATTATAAGAGCTACGCAGTTATCCGAGTAAGCATTTGTCTTGAAACGGAAATATTCAGGGACGAAATCGTCTGGTACCTAAATGTCCGGGACACATATGTCCAATATGCAACTGTCCTTCCTCCTGTTAAGGGACAAACCACTGGGAAACATATATTTCTTCATATATATATATATATATATATATATATATATATATATATATATATATATATATATATATATATATATATATATTCTGTATGTAGGCATAATTCAATACATAGACACACTCAAACACAGAGAGACACATATTCACGCACACGCACATCCACGCTTGCGCACACACACACATACATGAATAATGACAAAAGGAAAAGTTATGTTCATATTGTCCTTTTACAGATATAATTTATCTGAATTGTTTAACCCACCCACACACACACATATATATATATATATATATATATATATATATATATATATATATATATATATATATATATATATATATATATATATATATATATGAGAGTGAGAGTGTCAAAAGAAATTGTGGCTAGTGAATGTGCGTGTGTACGTGTTGCATCCGAAAATTTCGATGTTCGAACCTCAAGAGTGTCGGCTAATATTGTCTTTATTTCCTATCTATACCAGATACATTCAATCCATAGACTGATGACATGTTCGCGTTCCCAGTTCCCTCGTAGAATTTTGTTTTCATTCCAGCCGTTCCTGTTGAGTAACTGGTAGAACCGTATTCTTGCAAAAAAAAAAAAAAGCAAAAATACGTTGTCGTTTTGTTCGCAGATGTTTGTGCTTCGCTGTGTATAAACTTTAGTGGGAGATGTTTTGTCAGCAGGAATTGATTCCCTTTTACGGAATTTTGTTACTATCCGACCACTCATTTCACTCATTTCAGAGTGACTGCCGGCAGACGTTCAAGATTCTTCCTTCTGGCTAATTCTGTGTAGGTCGAGTTCAGATGTAAATTTTTTTTCCTAAAACAACAGCACTCATTCACTCAAGAAGCCACAGTCCCTTGAGAATCATTAAAAACGTCTGCGCAGAAA